TAGAAAAAATAAAACGCAATAGGTCATGGACAAGATGTTGGACACCCCTCCCCCCTTTGTACCATGCCCATCCCTACATTGTTTCTTCACTTTTTGGTGCACCCATTCCTACACCTTCAATTTTTATTAATATTTTTCCACTTGTATTATTCTGTTGAAACAAACTAATAGTTTTGTACTACCAGACATAATATATATATATTTACACATTTTTCACTTGCACCGCATACAGATTTAAAATATGTGATTGTCCTGCATTTGCAAATAAAAGAATGTTAGGGCTGGTTTTAAAAAATAAATTTCACATACAAAGAAATCTCGTGTTAGTTCAGAGAATGTTTGTAACTATTTTCTTCTATTCTCTGAGATTTCACGTGGAGTTATCATTGCCCCTTCCCATGGTGGCTGAGCGGTAATCTTAAGAACTTATAACACTAGAAATCAGTGTTCGATTCCTGTGATGGGCATAGCCAAATAGACCAATATGTAGCTTTGCGCGTTAAAATATATATAAAGAAATAACGTCATCTTCGGCGACACAATTTATATATATTATATTCTTGATAAAGTTGCCACCTAAAATATCAGGAAATAAATAAGCATTATCTTAAATAAGTCAGTGTTCACAAGGGAGTTTTTTAGAAAATAATTTTAGTTCTAAAATAGAACATTGTTTAATATCCTGAGGACATACTGTATAAATAGGGTAAATGATCATATCAGTCACGTTCACACTGTTAAGAAAAACGTATAAAACGAAAAAGGCAGCAAGATGTTAAAGTTAGATACAGCGTTTCAGAACACGACGATTAGCTTTAAACAACACGATTATACAAAAAATACAACACGTGTATGAACTATGGATAGATATGTGATAACACATAGAAAGCATGCTTTTATGTTAATTATTCACAGTCGGAATCAAAATGTATGTGTGTGGGGGGGGGGGTGAAGGTTTGAAGTCATGCTGTCCTGTAAAACCTTTTACAATTATAATAGCAACTCTGGCCGGATTTTATAGATTGAGGCCTAAGATGTGATAGAAATCAAGGTAAAAACACAAGCGAAGTTACTGTGAAAATAAGAAATTTAATGACCTACTTACGTGGCTTTTTCTTTTTCTTTTTTACCTGATTCTAATCTTTTATCTAATCTTTACCACTATATCTCCAGATACCAGATCAATTTTAGAATATTCATCTGTATACGGCGAGTCATTATTCTGGACAAAAATTCACTTGAAATTGGGGAAACTGTAACCTATTTATAGGGGGAATCAAAATGGGTGTTAATTCACTTATGATGGAGTTTGATTTGGAGGTCTTGGTCTCTCTGTCCCAACATCCATGCCATTACATCATAGTTTCAAATATCCATAATATCAAATGTTTCCCTTTTTTTACTATAGATAAATTAAAATATTGTTTCGTTTTGAAATATTTGAAATATTTCTAGATCAGAAAACAGGAAGTGCTATGAATGAAATATCTAAGTTTCCTTTCTAATATTATGTCTACTTTTGTTATGTTACCTAGGTGATCGTTGGTGTATACGTGATCTGCGTGTTAGTTTATATATACGAGTGTTCATTCTATTGTTTGTTATTATTTTCATCAATGATCTATTCAATTGTACCTGATGTAGGCTTAAGGCCGAAACTTAGCACACGTGTAAAACGTTTGAGGATGGAAGAAAGCATTTATATGGTATAACTTAGTACTATCACATTTATGGTTTAATTTTCATAGTTTGACTGTTATACAATCTAGAATTGAGAATCAAATCAAATTTCGGTGTTATAATCTTGTAAGTTACAACGTTACGTAAATTCCTATTCACTTTCCAATATTTTGCATGTTTTAATTAATTTGCACAAAGAACAACAACAAAACACAGAGAGAGAACCAGCCATGTAAAAGTTGTCTATGGTAATTTTCCAAGGTAAATAGTGCCCTTCCTGTGTTATCTCCACTCCTCCAAACTCAGGTTTCTCGAAATCACACATAATTAAAGTGGAAAGATACTTCCCAGTGAAATCTCTTGTCGACCTTGGTAACATATTTTTTTTTTATGTATCGCTCAGATTCAGGATTTTCCTGCAGGTAGGCTTAAGTAATCACTTTCATCGTTGCACGCTTGGTAGTGGTTGTTATTAAGCCACGACCATTATAGCTTTCTTGAGAGACGCCAGCACGGATCAAACAGAAAGTTACTAACTGATGTTGGTTGCACTGATATTGAGGACTATTCAAGTTATTGAATTAGCGGTTAACAGTTTTTAAACTAGGAGGAATCTCTAATTATTAACAAGGTAAGTCTGGCTAAATAGAACATTTTGGGCTTTTACGAGAATATACGTCTCTCAGATTTTCGAATTTATCTATTAATATATTTGTTTATGGCTTTAAGAATTAGGCATGTTTCTATAGTCGTGTCCAATCATTCACCATTGCCGTTTACAATAAGTAAAAAATAAGCAAAACTTATCATTGTTCGTTGTTTGCTATTATATTACCGAATTTAGCTAAAACGTATAAATCTGAAACTCTTAAACTTCTTACACTATTTAAAACCCTTCACTGCATCTACTCTCCATAAATGAAAGTGGTAAATTTTGGATGCTCATCTTCCTATCGGAAGCAGAAGGGAAAATTAATTTCCCTGTATAAAATCTCATTTTATGGTTGCAATAATTTCTATAAAAAAACTCATTTTACTCGAAACTTTCTAAAAATAAAAGGAAAAATACCAAATATAGGCCTAAAAAGTGTGAAGAAATATCCCATTAGAGTGCCTTATAACGTAATATTTTATCACATTTGTAGGTATTATGATGATTTCTTGAAATGCAAGCTTAGGGTTAACTGCATAACCTTCAAAGTAAAATCCTTTCCAAGCAATTGTCTTTGGAGTTAACATAATTCATGAGTAAAATGTGGAGTTATTATAACTCTTTACTGGTAGGAAAACAAAGTATCAGCTACGTAAGAATAATACATTTTATGTCTTGCATCACGTTTCAGAATAACTTTACAAGCTGAGAAAAACATTTAAAATTAAATCACAAGTCTCTATAGTTTACGCACTTATATATCAGTAGTGTGACTAGAAGACAATTATCAACGTACAGAATAATTTAAATAAAGCCTATTACGCGAGGAATATCCTGTTGTGGAAGGGACAATTCATATTGTTATCATGTTAAGGCTTTTACTTATACAACGTTATTATGACTCTGAAAGCCTTTACTCTCTCTGTGGAATGTTCTAGAATTTCGGCTACAAGAGTTTAAGTACTGACAATTTTAACCTTTCACGAAAGTAAAGTATATTTTAATAAGATCCCACTTTACTTTAGATATCTTAGAAAACAAACATTTGTGTAATCATATTACAATGAAACTTTGCCTTAAGGAGGTTTATTATTCGACACAAGAAGCATTATGTGATAAAACTAAACTGTGGATTACATTTTATAAATATAGAACCTGTTTAAGTGAAGCACGGATATAATGATGAGAGATGGAACATCTCCTTAGGTAAATCGTAATACACAAAACAACTAGATACTTAATCTAATATTAGAATCCTTAATAGGTAAATCGTAATACAAAAAACAACTAGATACCTAATCTAATATTAGAATCCTTAAGAGGTAAATCGTAATACACTAAACAACTAGATACCTAATATAATATTAGAATCTTTAATAGGTAAATCGTAATACTAAACAACTAGATACTTAATCTAATATTAGAATCCTTAATAGGTAAATCGTAATACAAAAAACAACTAGATACCTTAATCTAATATTAGAATCCTTAATAGGTAAATCGTAATACAAAAAACAACTAGATACCTAATCTAATATTAGAATCCTTGATAGGTAAATCGTAATACACTAAACAACTAGATACCTAATCTAATATTAGAATCCTTAATAGGTAAATCGTAATACAAAAAACAACTAGATACTTAATCTAATATTAGAATGCTTAATAGGTAAATCGTAATACAAAAAACAACTAGATACCGAATCTAATATTAGAATCCTTAGTAGGTAAATCGTAATACACAAAACAACTAGATACCTAATCTAATATTAGAATCCCTGATACCTGCGTGCAATTTGTGTTTTATAGACTTGTCTCTATGATAATGAAATTTGGTTTGTGAAGGGATGGGCGTGGCCAAGTGATTAACATGGCAGGTGCGGATAGAAGGGTCCGAGTTTCGAGATCAACGTCATTGAGCCCATTCCATACTTTCAGCCGTGGACGCTCTATAATCCTCTCAAATATCTGGAGAAAGCCCTTGTGGCGGCCGGTACTGATAGTTACCTTTCTTCTGGTTATTAGTTCTAGACTAGGGACGACTATATATAAAAACTAGGGCGTCCCTTACCAGGCTGTTTAGTCCTCGTGCTCATAAGGTGCCGATTATGTCGAAAATCCCACATCCAATGTTTTTGTTTGTTCTGATCAGCAAGAGACTTCACACATGAAAAACAATGAACATTCCTTGTGAAAACGTCTGTTTCACATATGTATTGTTCTGTTTGTTCGATTTATTTTTAAGGGAAAACTACGCGATGAATTATCTGAGCTGTACCCGCCGTGGGTACTGAATCAAGAATTTTAGCGTTATAAGCTCTCAAGCATACTGGGGCTATTCATACATTTATTTTCAAAACCTAATATAAAAACAAACATCTCACGTGTCAACACCTTAATGTTAAACAAAACTTAAAAATGAGTATTCTATCAAACCTTTGGGTGATTGTATAAACGGAAGTAAGACTTGGAAAGTGAATGTGTCGATGAAAGCCATATCTTTTCGAAGAATAAGTGTACTTATTTACTGGTGAGATTGAAATCTCTAAACTTATAAAACAGTTAAAGTGGTTACTGGGGTAGAGAGTAAATGTCTAAGATTTTATTAAAATACGGTGTATAAAAAAGATATCTCGGGCAACAAAGAAAACGCTTTAAAATTGCGTACACATTTTTTTATCAACCCAAAAGACGCAAAACTTATTAGAATGTATGAAAACACATACGTTTGGTTTGTTTGGAATTTCGAGCAAAGCTACACGAGGGCTTTCTGCGTTAGCCATCCCCAATTTAGCAGTGAAGGTCTAGAGGGAAGGCAGCTAGTCATCAACACCGACCGCCAACTTTGGGCTACTATTTTACCAACGAATAATGGGATTGACCGTCACATTATAACGCCCCCACGGCTGGAAGGAGGAGCATATGTGGTGGGACGGGGATTCGAACCCGCGACCCTCAGATTGCGAGTCGAGTGCCCTAACCACCTGACCATGCCAAGCCACAAAACACATAGGATTCTGTACAGTGCATTCATTGTTCGTTTGAAGTTTTAAAATGAACTTATAATGAAGTTAATAAAAGTTACTAATTTGTTTAAAAGAATACGAGAGATGAAAATATATTTGTTATACCATAAGTTTGGATAATTAAGTTGATGTCGTTAGGTGCTTTAGCGCAAAGCTACACAATAGGCTACTTGCGCTCTGTTCGCCGAGAGGAATCGAACCCCGGATTTTAGCCTTGTGGATATTTAGGAAAAGCACTAACCTATTGGTAAATAACGCTGGCAAAATATCAAACACTTATTTTATATTTTAAAACATTAACAGCAAATATCTCATGGGAAATGTTTATGGAGAATAGTATAATATTAGTACATTGAGTATTATTACAATATGAATAAGTGGATATAGTTTATTGTTTTATTTGGTTGTTTCTTTCAGAATTTCGCGAAAAGCTATACACGATCTTTTTAAACACAGCTGTCTTAATTTTGAACTGGTAGACTAGAGGGAAGACAGCTAGTCTAGCACTCATCGTCAACATTAGGGATGCTTAATCTTGGCTGATCGAATAGTAGGATGTGAGCGTTACACTTATAACACATATACGGCTCCAAAGAGCGGAGTGCGTTTATGGTGTAAGAGTCGCGGACCATAAACCCTCGGTTCTTTTATTGTTTCTTTTAGTCGTGCTTTATACACATTTTAGTAAAGTTATAATTAAACTAGAAACAAGCGTAAAAATTGTTTAATAAAAGCTATTTTGTTTTTATAGATAACCAAATTTGTCATAATATTTGTTTCTTAGCATTGTATTAATTGTTCTTGAGTTGATTTCCAATCATTAATAGTACAAAGTTATCAATAGTCTCTGTAAGCAATGATTCAGTAACTTCAAATCATTAATAGTACAAGTTATAAATAGTCTCTGTAAGCAATGATTCAGTAACTTCCAATCATTAACAGTACATAGTTATAAATAGTCTCTTTAGGCAATGCTTCAGTAACTTCAAATCATTAATAGTACAAAGTTATCAATAGTCTCTGTAAGCAATGATTCAGTAACTTCCAGTCATTAATAGTACAAAGTTATAAATAGTCTCTGTAAGCAATGATTCAGTAACTTCAAATCATTAATAGTACAAAGTTATCAATAGTCTCTGTAAGCAATGATTCAGCAACTTCCAATAATTAATAGTACAAAGTTATAAATAGTGTCTATAAGCAATGATACAGTAACTTCCAATCATTAATAGTACAAAGTTTTACATAGTCTCTGTAAGCAATGATTCAGTAACTTCAAATCATTAATAGTACAAAGTTATCAATAGTCTCTGTAAGCAATGATTCAGCAACTTCCAATAATTAATAGTACAAAGTTTTACATAGTCTCTGTAAGCAATGATTCAGTAACTTCCAATCATTAATAGTACAAAGTTATAAATAGTCTCTGTAAGCAATGATTCAGTAACTTC